TTAATTAGTAATTTATAATATAAATTAATTTATTTAAATAATTAAATATATACCTAAAGTTAAATTACTTGATTCATGAAAAATAGTTTCTCATTTAATTGTAACCTTAGAACATTCTTGATTTAAAATTCATTCTGACAAAGTTTCACTTGATGGTGGTTGATAATCTGGACACAAATTTTGAAAAAGATCGATAAAAAATGAATTTTCCACTACTGAAAATGCAATACCACAAACTACAAAAGCCTTTAATAAAGAATTATCTATAGAATTCTTTTGTCCTTCAGATAAACCACCTTCTGATCTATACAAAAAAAATCTTGTAAGACTAGATTGTTCATCATTTAATTTTCGTTTTTTTAATTCTTTATCAAGATCATTACGCTGAGCTACACAAAGCAAGTACACCTGCTGAACTTCATCTTCCATTTTAGAACAATTTAATGCAAGATGTGCCTCAAGTTTTAATGGTTCACCTCTTGCCCATTTAGCTTGACAAAATTTACATATAGCAAAAAAGTGTCCAGGAGATTTGGTACTTCCTCGTATAAAAAACTCCCAAACAGTTGACAATTGACGTCCAGAAATTGTTTCATTTGATAGACTTGATGTAAAAGTATAGGTGGAAGAGGTTGAAGAGCTTATAGATTCTCGTCTTCTAATAACAAGTATTTTATTTTTTTCTTTATTGTGTTGTTTCATATTTTCTAATATACGCGAAAAGAAAGACGCGTAATAGTAATAGGATTCTAATTTGTATAATGACAATATTGCAAATCATTTTGGTCATAATAAACATTAACGTTAAGTATTGGTATAAAGATTTTTCTTATTCTTGAGAGGATTATTATATTAATATGTAAGGGGTGTGAAAATCAAATAACGTATTACATGTACATATATTAATACATATATATGTATATGCATTCGTACATTTTCAAAAATGATCATCATCATCAGGTATCTTGATTTATGAACTAGTATTTTATTGGTCAGAAAGTTTTGTCATAGGTTTTGTCATTCGTTATGGGTTTTGTCATTCGTTATGGGTTTCGTCATTCGTCACAGGTTTCGTCATTCGTCATGGATTTCATCATTCGTCATAGGTTTCATCATTCGTCATAGATTTCATCATTCGTCACAGACTTTTTCAAAATGGTTGTGACGAAAGATTTCGTCAAATTGACGTGACGAAAAGTTTCGTCATCATCAAGTATTATTAGCTGCTGGTGAACAATAATATACCAGATTTTATTTTTAATGAAGTCATAGAGCAGTGGGAATTGATAAAGTGAAACAATTGATTCATTAATGAATAAAATGAATTCTTTAAAAAATATTTCATCAGTTAATGCATCCTTAAGATCGAAATCATTAAAATTTTCTTCCTTAACATCGATTTCAAGATACTTTGCATAGCAAAGTTCTTTTAGACTAGAAACCTTTGGCCAAGGTTTTTTAAGTACTACATATCAATAGCTATGTGCAAATTGTTGGGCATTATTTTCACCAAGATGACATAAGCTTAAAGAAAGATGAAGCAATTTAACCATTTTTGATGCAATTCAAGACCTTTTTGTATTTCTTAGTTCTAATTTTTTGACTAATAATTCAATTTTTGAATTATCCATAATTTCTGTACTTTGTAGAAACTCACTGCCAAAAAATGAGTAAAGATTTTCCAAGGTATTTTTGAGCTTACATGTCAAATTAACAATAAAATCTGGCATTTGATGTGCTCGATGACCAGATGGTAAACATTGTAGTGAATTATCTGACTGTACAACTAACAGTTAGAGATCGTAATTGACAATAAATTTAGCAAACAGGCAGTAAAATTCTTGGCCAAATTTAACTAGGCACTGTATTTCAATATTCATTTAACCAATTCTGAAATAATTTCCATTTTTGAACATAGAAACTCAGGACTTTTTTTAAAGCTTTCAGTTTTGGAAGAAACCATGTAACAAATTCAATATGAATTTTACGTCTTTCAAGGTATTGTTTCACCGCAATTCATTCATATTGCCATCTTGATTTTAGAGGATGTTAATATTTAATCAACTGATAATTAAGACATGTTTTATAAAGACTCTGAATAGTCTTACTTCTCATATTAAGCAGTAAATCTTTATCACTTTGAGCATATCCATTATGCAGCATCCATGCTAAATAAAAAAGATTAAATGGATGTTGTGTCTTTGAAAATCCAGTACTTGCAGAAAGTTTACTGAAAGCCATTTCCTTAAATTTATTGAAAATTAAATTTAACACATGCAATTCACAAGGAATTTGGACACAATTACTTTGAGCTAATTGATTAAATTTAGCTACAGCACCACCAACGTGATCACTCATGTAATTTGTGTTATCAGAAAGAAAGGTAAGGTATTACACAATATTAAGATTATATTTTGTACAAGTTTCAATTAGAGCCTGACTAACTGTATTAGAATTGCAGTGTTAAAGATCTTTTGTCTCTAGAAGAACAACATCTGGCATATTCTTTGCTGAATTCCAAAACATAAAGCAATTTACTAATATTTTTTTT